TTATTTTCTATAAGCTGTAGCATTGATCTCTTCTCTTTCTTTAGATTTAGACAATTGCAATCCCGACTTCATTGGTGTGAGAACTGAGTTACACTTTGTTAGTCCAGCTTCTTCCAATATCTTAAGAGCATACCAATTCTGATTTAACACTATTCCCTCGTCGTGTTGATCAACCTCGATGCCAAAATAGTATGTAATTTTACCAAGATCATTCATATCAAACTTCATAGACATCTCCCTCTTAAACTCGTTTATGACAAGAAGGCATGTTCCGGTCACAAATAAGTCATCAACGTACACGGCTATGAAGAGAAGAGAGCCTTTTTCCTCTTTATGATAGAAAGAAGGTTCCTTTGAACACTTCTTGAACTCGAGTTGCTTGAGAATCTGGTTTAACTTGTTGTTCCACGCTCTTGGAGCTTGTCTTAACCCGTATGATACTTTGTTAAGCTTGTTGACGTTACCTTCTCCTCCCTCAACTTCAAAACCCTCTGGTTGCATCACATAAATAGTCTCTTTCAATTCACCGTGAAGAAACGCTGTCTTAACATCAAGATGACGAATCTCCCAACCATTTGTTGCTGCCCAGTTAACAAGAAGACGTATAGTCTCAATTCGTGCGACTAGGCCAAGAACTTCTTCGAAATCTACTCCATATTGCTGCACATACCCTTTGGCGACAAGTCAAGCTTTGTGTTTGTTGATACTTCCATCGGAGTTCTTCTTGAGCTTCAATATCCACTTTAAACCAATTGGTTTCACATCCTTTGGACAATCAACAAGATCCCATGTGTTGTTCTTCTTGATGGAATCAATCTCATCTACTCAAGCGAGTCTCCATTCTTTTATTTCTTTAGCTTCATGAAAGTTCTTTGGTTCATCATTCAAGCTTAGAAGCAGCATTTCTCCTTCTTCTATGGCCAATAAAACATAATCTACAAGATATTTAGGTTTTCCAACTTGTCTTACCAGTTTTCTCAAGGCAATAGGCAGATCAATATCAGAATAATGTTCATTATCTCCCCCGTGTTCATCTTCTTCTTCCTCGGGGTTGTCTTCTTGTTCTGTTTCAGGTACACACGACGAGGATGAACTACTCTGTTCTTGATCGTTTCTTCTCTCATGCTCTGTTTCTGAAGTTCTTCTCTCTTCTTCTATCCCATGATTTCCAAATTCTCCAACATCAAGACTAAAACTCCTATTACTTTCCTTCTCCGGATCACTATATCGCCAATTCCACCCCTTTGTTTCATCAAACACAACATCTCTACTTACCACAATTTTCTTCACTTGTGGATCAAGAAGTCGATATGCCTTGGATCCTGGTTCTATTCCAAGATGAATAAGTACCCTTGATCAATCATCTAATTTTTTAGACTTGCCTTATCCACCTTTTCATAACTTATAGACCCAAAAATCCGAAGGTGATCGATCCTTGGATTCTTGTTTTTAAGAGCTTCATATGGTGTTTGATCCTTGACTGCTCTCGTTGATATGCGATTGAGAAGATAAGTACAATGTCGAACTGCTTCTCCCCATAAGTAATTTGGTAATTGCATATGCTTCATCATGCTTCTAGTCATCTCCATCATAGTTCGATTTTGTCTTTCAACGACGCCGTTCTGTTGTGGCGTGTAAGGGGGGGGGGGGGGGTAAGGTGTCTTTTGATCCTGGCTTCATCGCAAAATGAGTTGAACTCTAGGCTTACAAATTCTCCTCCTTGATCTGTTCTGAACGTCTTGATGCTAGCCCTATTTCTTGTTCAATTAGCTGCTTGAACTTCTTGAATTTACCAAACGCATCACTCTTCTTCCTCAATACGATTGTCCACATATACCTAGAGTGATCATCTATGAGAACAAAGATATATTTTTTGCCAACAGATGTACTTGGAGTTATAGGGCCACAAAGATCTCCATGAATCAATTCAAGAATCGTATCAGCTCGATATGTTGTTGCTTGAGGAAAGACTTGCCTTGTTTGCTTCCCAAGCAAACATAATCCACAAATTTGTTTCTCAAAGACCACATGCGGAACATCTTGAACAAGCTTCTTTTGAAACATAGATTTTATGTTTCAATGTTTACATGTCCAAGTCTAGCATGCTATCTACTTGATTCGCTGATTCTTGTTAGATTGAGAAAAGCTTTGTCTTTTATCGCCATAAGTACTTTGTAATGCCGATTTTGAGACATTTCTGCCTTCACTAGGAGTTTTTTGTCACAATCATGCATTGTCAAGTACTCGCCTCTCATCCTTATGTCACAACCGAATTCTTTGGTTGTCCTAAGCTTACAATGTTACTTCTCAAATCTGGGATGAAGTATACATTTGACAATGTCCTTAGCTCTCTATTCATCTCAACAAAAGAGATCGGTCCTTTTCCCTTAGTATCAATACGAGAGTCATCTCCGGAACGTACTTTTCCTGAGATCGTATTATCTATTTTGTCAAAATATCTTCCATCACCAGTCATGTGATTGCTTGCTCCGTTGTCGAGATACCACACATACTCACTTGTTTCGGTTGCCTCATACTTACTTGGCAAACAATTCTTCTCATTCAAATACACAACTTCATGAACCATAAGTTCATCCGCCTCTGTTGGGTTCTCTAAACCAAGCCAATTTTCCTTTAGTATGATATTGTCCGCTTTGGGCCTATAACTCAAGCCCGCACGGATTTATTGGGCTCATTCTCAAAAGGCCTCATACTAATTGGAGTTGGACTTGACTTATATATTAGAAACTTCTTTTTCTAATCTTCTGATGTGGGATATTGGTTTGTATTCCAATACTCCCCCTCAAACTATAGACCACGAACCTTTGGCCTCCTATTCTTGAGGTACCATTCTTATCGTGTCACATTGAGGGTTTTCCACACCGAACATAGAGTCCATATCCACTCCCCCAGGTCCACAATCTTGACCTAGGCTCTGCTACCAATTGTTCGGTTCTTTGAGCCCCAAGCCAACTCTCATTAGTATGATATTGTCCGCTTTAGGCCATAACTCAAGCCCGCACATATTTGTTATTGGGCTCCTTCCCAAAATGCCTCATACTAATTGGGACTTGACTTATATATTAGAAACTTCTTTTTCTCAACTTCCGATGTGGGTAAGGTGTCTTTTGATCCTGGCTTCATCGCAAAATGAGCGGAACTCTAGGCTTACAAATTCTCCTCCTTGATCTGTTCTGAACGTCTTGATGCTAGCCCTATTTCTTGTTCAATTAGCTGCTTGAACTTCTTGAATTTACCAAACGCATCACTCTTCTTCCTCAATACGATTGTCCACATATACCTAGAGTGATCATCTATGAGAACAAAGATATATTTTTTGCCAACAGATGTACTTGGAGTTATAGGGCCACAAAGATCTCCATGAATCAATTCAAGAATCGTATCAGCTCGATATGTTGTTGCTTGAGGAAAGACTTGCCTTGTTTGCTTCCCAAGCAAACATGATCCACAAATTTGTTTCTCAAAGACCACATGCGGAACATCTTGAACAAGCTTCTTTTGAAACATAGATTTTATGTTTCAATGTTTACATGTCCAAGTCTAGCATGCTATCTACTTGATTCGCTGATTCTTGTTAGATTGAGAAAAGCTTTGTCTTTTATCGCCATAAGTACTTTGTAATGCCGATTTTGAGACATTTCTGCCTTCACTAGGAGTTTTTTGTCACAATCATGCATTGTCAAGTACTCGCCTCTCATCCTTATGTCACAACCGAATTCTTTGGTTGTCCTAAGCTTACAATGTTACTTCTCAAATCTGGGATGAAGTATACATTTGACAATGTCCTTAGCTCTCTATTCATCTCAACAAAAGAGATCGGTCCTTTTCCCTTAGTATCAATACGAGAGTCATCTCCGGAACGTACTTTTCCTGAGATCGTATTATCTATTTTGTCAAAATATCTTCCATCACCAGTCATGTGATTGCTTGCTCCGTTGTCGAGATACCACACATACTCACTTGTTTCGGTTGCCTCATACTTACTTGGCAAACAATTCTTCTCATTCAAATACACAACTTCATGAACCATATGTTCATCCGCCTCTGTTGGGTTCTCTAAACCAAGCCAATTTTCCTTTAGTATGATATTGTCCGCTTTGGGCCTATAACTCAAGCCCGCACGGATTTATTGGGCTCCTTCTCAAAAGGCCTCATACTAATTGGAGTTGGACTTGACTTATATATTAGAAACTTCTTTTTCTAATCTTCTGATGTGGGATATTGGTTTGTATTCCAATACTCCCCCTCAAACTATAGACCACGAACCTTTGGCCTCCTATTCTTGAGGTACCATTCTTATCGTGTCACATTGAGGGTTTTCCACACCGAACATAGAGTCCATATCCACTCCCCCAGGTCCACAATCTTGACCTAGGCTCTGCTACCAATTTTTCGGTTCTTTGAGCCCCAAGCCAACTCTCATTAGTATGATATTGTCCGCTTTAGGCCTATAACTCAAGCCCGCACATATTTGTTATTGGGCTCCTTCCCAAAAGGCCTCATACTAATTGGGACTTGACTTATATATTAGAAACTTCTTTTTCTCAACTTCTGATGTGGGTTATTGGTTTGTATTCAATTACTCCCCCTCTAGCCATAGACCACGAACCTTTGGCCTCCTATTCTTAAGGTACCATTTTTATCGTGTCACAAGATTCTTATTGTTGAATAATACAGTGACTTGAGGAACAAGTTAAGGAGATCACAAAGAAGATTTAGATAAGGGGTAGCTTATTTAGATAAGGCTTTGTGTGTTGTTATCCTAATACAAATAGAATAAGGAGTTGTCTTGTTTTTATATAAATACAAAGGCCTATGAAGAGATGTTTTAAAGAGTTTGAGAAAGAGATTTACTTTTTGAGAAGTTTTCTAAGTCTAATAATAAGAGAGGTGTTCTTATATTCAAGTTCTTTCAAACTTTGAATTGGTATCAGAGCTTGCGTTAACAAACGGTGGTTGACGTAGCTTTGTCACCAAGCATGGGAGACAACAATCCAATTACACCATCGATCCATTGTCCAATGCTAACGTTAACGAATTACACGATTTGGGCGTTGAGGATGAAGGTGTTGCTTCGAGTCAGCGAAGTATGGGAAACAATAGAACCCGGTTCCGATGATGTTAAGAAGAACGATGAGGCAACCGCTCTATTGTTTCAATCGATTCCTGAGACGTTGATTTTGCAGATCGGAGTGCAAAACTCAGCGAAGAACTTGTGGGATGCCGCGAAGTCTCGTCACCAAGGAGCAGACCGTGTGAAAGAAGCAAGACTTCAGACCCTAAAGGCAGAACTCGATCTGTTAAAGATGGGAGATGCTGAATTGGTAGATGAGTTTATAGGGAAGATATCAGGTCTTGCTGCTCAATCAGCTTCTTTAGGAGAAACACTTGATGAAACAAGACTTTTGAAGAAGTTTTTGTCCGCACTTCCTGAAAAATTTATTCACATCGTAGCTACACTTGAGCAAGTCCTTGATTTAAATACAACAAGCTTTGAAGATATTGTTGGAAGGATCAAAGCTTATGAAGATCGTGTTGGGAAGCAAACCCAAAGTGACGACCAAGGAAAACTAATGTTTTCTAACACCAATAACCGTGGAGGGTATGGTGGGAACCGAGGAGCTAAAGGTAGAGGCGATGCCGGAAAAGGAAGCTCCGGTAGAAGTAGAGAAAGACGAAGATCTAATGGTCAAAACCAAGGAGGAGAGAACTCATAGAACGACCAAAAGAAGAAGGATCTTTGAAAAATAATTTGTTGGAGATGTGACAAACCGGGTCACTATGCATCAATGTGTCCTGATAAGATAGTACAACATCAAGAGTCAAATTTACATGAGACGCAAGAAGAGGAAACACTTTACGTTCAAGAAGTGGTGTTCTTGAACGAAGATAAGGTGTTCCCGAATAACTATGATACCAACAATGCAAGTGTATGGTATCTTGACAACGGCGCAAGCAATCATATGAAGGTGAACAAAGAATTATTTTCAAGTATCGATGAAAATATTAAAGGTAAAGTAAAGTTTGGTGATGGCTTGTATGTAAACATTGACGGGAGAGGAACAATAATCTTTGTGAGCAAGCTAGGTACATGTGGACGTTATTGTTAAAGGAGAAGAGTGAAGCATTCGATCGGTTCAAAAGGTTTAAAGAGTTAGTTGAAAAACAAACCGGTATGGCGATTAAAACAAACCGGTATGGGACTGGTCTCCTCCAAGAGAAACCAATGAAGCAACATGAATATTTAAACTTTCTCATGGTGGATTCATAGAAAACGGAGATGGATATGTGAATGATGGAAAAAAAAATTATCATGGTCTAGATCAAGAACCTATGAACCAAAACGAGGAAGAAGAAGAAAATGGTGATAACGACATAAATCATGAAGATGTTAATAACAACAGGAATAATGGAGCTGAAAATCAACAAGTGGAGGTGGGAAATTCATCACCTAGACGTCAAGACCGCTTTCTTGAATGGTGATCTAAAGGAAATAGTCTATGTGACACACCCCGAAGGTTTTGAGAAGAAGAGAGAAGAACAGCGAGTGTATCGACTTCGTAAGGCCTTTTATGGCTTATGACAAGCCCCTAGAGCATGGAATACAAAACTCGACCAAGTTCTAAAGGAGATGAATTTTATTAGGTACGTAAAAGAGTCGTCCGTCTATCTCAAGAGGAACAAGAAGGAGTTCTTGAGAGTGGCAATTTATGTTGATGATTTGTTCGTAACGGGAACGTCAAGTAACGTTATTAAGCAATTTAAGGAAGATATGTCGAAGAGATTTGAGATGTCTGATCTAGGCAAGCTAACATATTACCTTGGTATAGAAGTGATTCAAGGAGCAAATGGGATCAAGATAAAACAAGAAGGTTACGCTCAAGGGATCCTTATTGATACTAAGATGGAATCGTGTAATTTGACTCATGTGCCGATGGAGTCAAATCTGAAACTTTCCAAAGCTGAACACGAACCTGAAATTGATGCAACAAGTTATAGAAGAACCATAGGGTGTTTGAGATATCTTCTTCACACAAGACCATACTTAGTATTTGCTGTAGGAGTACTAAGCCGCTATATGCACAGTCCAAGAAAATCGCATGGACAAGCACTCAAACGCGTGTTAAGGTATGTGAAAGGAACAACTAACTTAGGCTTGCATTTCAAGAAGGATGGGACAAAGAGAATTCTCGGATATAGTGATAATTGACACAATATAGATGTTGATGATGGTAGAAGCACGTCGGGTCATATCTTCTACCTCGGCTCATCACCAATCATATGGACCTTACAAAAGCAACCCACTATCGCGTTATCCTCATGTGAAGCTGAGTTTATGGCAGCGACGGAACCCGCAAAGCAAGATATTTGGCTTAAAGATTTGATGAAAGAGATTCTTTGTATTGATGAGAAGATCATACTAAAGATTGAGAACAAGTCAACAAAAATTCCGGTGTTCATGAGAGGAGTAAGACCTACTCTCTAAGTATCATTTCATCCGAGAATGGATAGAGAATGTGCAGATTGAAGTGGAACATGTACCCGGTGTGGAGCAGAAGGCTGATATTCTCACTAAGCCATTGGCGAGAATAAAGTTCAAAGAGAGGAGGAGTTTAATCGGTGTTGTACAAAGGCCTATGAAGAGATGTTTTATAGAGCTTGAGAAAGAGATTTAGTTTTTGAGAAGTTTTCTAAGTCTAATAATAAGAGACGTGTTCTTATATTCAAGTTCTTTCAAACTTTGAACCTCTTGTGTATCTGTATTCTCGACTTCTTGTGTCTCTTGTAGCTTAAGGAGACGATCAGGGCAGCTAGATGCATAGTGACCAAGCTTGTCGCAGCGATAACAAGTTATTCTCGATGTGTCTCTCCTGCCATTAGAACGTCCACCGCGTCCTCTTCCTCTGCCTCTGCCTCCATCACGATTCTGATTTGGGTATTCATCTATGTACATCAATTTGCTTTGATCCTCTTGACTCTCTTCTTCTTATTGTCTTTCATTTTGGTAACTCATGTATATAGAGAAGATCATCATCATTATCCTAATCTAAATAGGAAATAATACAGGTCTAGATAACAACTAAACTTCCTATTCCTAATTCCATATCTCGGTTAGATTAGGATAACTTCCCGCTCAAGTAATCTTCTTTTTCAAGCTTATGCCAACACGCGTCAGCTTCTCATCGACTTTCTTGTAATTTGCACTCTTCTTCTTGTTCTCCGCCTCTCTAATACCTTGAGTCGAGCAACTAGATAACCGATCAACGTAATCAACCTCTTTCCTAAAAAATATTAAAAATATGTATATTAACTAAATTGTATATTATAACAAAATATGATATATTTTCCTAAATATATCATATTTTCAATAATTTATTTACATTCAGTAAATTTAATTTAATTACCAAAATACATTTTATACACTTAAAAATAAATAAATTAATTAACAAGCCAAAAAATTGATGGGTACATATAAAACTATTTTCGTCAAAAATGGATTGGTTTTCGGTCGGTAAAAACAGTCGCTACTTCGGTAAGTTATTCCATTGTTTTCTTGTGGTGTTGCAAGTTATTATCCGCATACAAATTTAAGTATATAATAATATATGAAGTTATAAAATGTAGTTAGTTTGGATGCTTTTTATGAAGGAAAAAATTATTTCAACTAATATGAGTAGCTACTTTATCAATAAGCAACTAAAATCAGCTTCAGTGGTGAGTTTTAGTGAATTGTTTGAGTTGTAAGTTGTAAAACAGGACACAAGATATAGAATTTGTGTTATCATTCATCGTAGAGGAAGCTTACAATATATAGCCTATACAAGATCTCGATCCTAACAAGATATACATCGTATCGACAAATATATCAATCTCTCTAAAATAAGTACAAGCTAGTAAACACCGCAAAGATCTCTAATGAAGTACCGAATATATTCACTGCAATGTATCCGTTAACACCCCCCCTCAAGTTGAGCATGCGGGTTCCAAATGCCCAACTTGGCCACTATATCTACAAATTCTCGTCGACCAAGTGCTTTAGTAAAGACATCAGCAAGCTGTTCCTTAGTGTGAACCTTCTTTGTCTGAATTGCTCCGCTCTGTATTGCGTCACGAACATTGTGACAGTCTATCTCCACTCCTTTTGTTCTTTCATGAAACACAGGATTGGCTGCAATGTGCAAAGCAGCTTGATTATCACAATGTAAGTCTGTTGGTTCAGTTTGAGACACTCCAAAATCAGCTACCAAGTGACGCAACCACTCCAACTCTTTGACCGTCAACGCCATACACTGATATTCAGCTTCTGCATAAGAACGTGCAGCTACCTTCTGTTTCTTTGTCTTCCAAGAGATTGGAGATGAACCAAGCATAACAATCCAACCACTAATTGACCGTCTAGATAGCGGACACCCTGCCCAATCAGAAACACACCATCCGTGTAGCTTCAGATCACTAGACGCACTCAAGAGTATTCCTTGACCTAGCGTTCCCTTCAAATAATGCACAATGCGCAATGCACAACGCCAATGATCTATTCTAGGACTCTGCATAAACTGTGACAGAACATGAATAGCATATGTCAAGTCCGGATGAGTAGCAAGAAGATAAACAAGTCGGCCTACTAAACGTCTATACTTTTCAGGTTCATCCAACAGCGGACCGTCTGCGAGAGCAAGCTTGTGTTGTTGTTCAATGGGAAACGCAACCGGCTGTGACCCAAGATATCCTACTTCATTGATAATATCCAATGTGTATTTTCGTTGACAAAGAAAAATACCATCATTGTTCCTCGCTACTTCAATCCCCAAGAAGTATTTTAATGATCCGAGATCTTTCATATGAAAGCATTCTCCTAAATACTTCTTGAATTTTCCAATCCCAGCTGTATCATTCCCGCCAATGATTAGATCATCTACATATACTAGAACATATATCTCAGAAGTTCCTTGCCGGAGAGAAAACATTGAGTAATCAGCATGTGATTCCTTAAAACCATATTTTGTAAGAGCACCTTTCAACTTAGCAAACCAACACCGTGGAGCTTGCTTTAATCCATACAACGACTTCTTTAGTAGACAAACTGAATTTCTGTCTGCACCGTTATGAAACCCGGGAGGAAGTTGCATATACACTTCTTCTTCCAACTCTCCATGTAAAAATGCATTGTTTACATCCATTTGATGCAATTCCCACTGTTTTGCAGCAGCAACTTCAAGGAATGTTCTAACTGTTGTCATCTTTACAACTGGTGCAAAAGTCTCATAATAATCTACGCCTTCTTTTTGATTATTCCCCAAGACTACTAACCGTGCCTTGTATCTTTCCAGTGTACCATCAGCTCGGTACTTGAGTTTGTAAATCCACTTGCATCCAATAGCTTTCTTCCCTGGTGGTAAAGTTGTGACAGTCCACGTTTGATTATTTTCAAGGGCATCGATCTCCTTCTGCATAGCTTCTTGCCACTCCCGATATGCTACAGCATCACGAAACGTAGTAGGTTCTGTTCCGGCAATGATCGATGCGAGAAAGGATCTATACTTCAGAGAGAATTGACTGCAATCAATATATTTAGAGATTGGAAAATCAATCCCGTCACAAGGCTCTCCCCCATCATTCTTTGGATCACACACAACCTGCAACACATAATCCTTTAACCGAGCGGGTAACACCTTTGGTCGTTTGCCCGGTCCAAGTTCTTTATTCGAATTGGTTCATG